TAGAGGGAGAGAGAGCAAGCACAGGCAGACAGAATGGCAGGCAGAGGCAGAGGGAGAAGCAGGCTCCCTGATGAGCAAGGAGCCCGATGTGGGACTCAATCCCAGGACACTGGGATCATGACCTGAGCCGAAGGCAGCTGCTTAACCAACTGAGCCACCCAGGCGTCCCCATTTCTTTGCATTCTTAAGCAACATCTATTGGATACACCCAGACCTTTTGTTGATGTCTTAGGGAAGGAGATACCAATATGTGCTGAGACCTTTTGAGGTATATTCCTAGTAAAGATGTAATTTTTAAATATACGACTTTACCCTAAAATGCTTTTTAATGTTTTCTTTGGACCGTTTGTCCACTTTTTTTTTTTTTAAGATTTTTTTTAATTTATTTGACAGAGAGATATCACAAGTAGGCAGAGAGGCAGGCAGAGAGAGAGGAAGGGAAGCAGGCTCCCTGCTGAGCAGAGAGCCCGATGCGGGCCTCGATCCCAGGACCCCAGGATCATGACCTGAGCCGAAGGCAGAGGCTTAACCCACTGAGCCACCCAGGCACCCCCGTTTGTCCACTTTTAATAGATTTCCTCTCAAGTCTCTTTTTTGTCCTTCTGATTTTTTTTTTTTTTTTTTCAGTGTGAGTAGTTCATGTATCTTCTTTCCCTGCCTATTTGATGGGAAACAGTGAAACCATATCTGTTAGGGTTGTCACTGAAGAAGAAGTACATGGGCTATGGAAAAAGGACTGTCCTGTGAGTTACATGGAGGGCTTGTTGTGCATGAGCCTCATGCTATCAACTCCGGCTCTTCCAAGGCCTTTCGGACTTGTACCACAGTTTTTGTAGATAGTTTTATAAGAATAGGTCAAAGTATTATTGATATATTCATTTAACCTCTAAGCCAGCATTTTTCCATGGAAATATTGTGTGTGCTACAAATGTGTGCCACATATATAATTTCAAAATTTCTAGCAGCCCATGCTTTCAAAAAATTAAAAAAGGAACAGGCAAGGTGAATTTTAGTATTTTGTTGAACCCAACATACACAAAATGTAATCATTTCAAAATGTAATCAATACAAGAAATTAGCAATGCTCTGTTTCACACTCTTTTTAAATACCATGTTGTATAAATGTGATGTGTATTTTATGCATACAGCACATCTCAATTCAGAGTGGCCATAAGCCTCATGCTTGAACCAATGGTTTGCCATTGGATTGTACAGTTCTACACAGTACTTGGTAAAACTTGGGAGTCTCTTGGAAATTGTGGTATACAGGAACCCTCTATTTTTTTTTTTTTAAGATTTTATTTATTTGACAGAGAGAGAGAGATCACAAGTAGGCAGAGAGGCAGGCAGAGAGAGAGAGGGAGAAGCAGGCTCCCCGCTGAGCAGAGAGCCCGATGTGGGGCTCGATCCCAGGACCCTGGGATCATGACCTGAGCCGAAGGCAGAGGCTTTAACCCACTGAGCCACCCAGGCGCCCCAGGAACCCTCTATTTTGATTAGAGGCTTTGCGAGATGAACATAGGTGACAGAGGGTAGGCCAGCTCATGGCAAGGTGTACAGAGTTGTACATCTTGTGGCTCCTTATATAGTACAGCACAACCAGGGACCACTGAGGGCCTGCTGCAGAGACCCGTGCAACCCCAGAAGCAATCTGAATACTTGTGACTTGCTTAGAGTCCCTGCAAGGGCTGGTAGGATAAACTGTTTATTTGTACACTCCCTATAGAGAGAACTGGGATTGAAGCAGACGCCCCAACTTTTTTTTTTTTCCCCCCTGCTTGCTATCACTCTCCAGCCAGGTGAGAGATTGAAATTATGCAGGAAGCAATTCAATGATCATCTGCTCTGGGCGCTTGCACCCAGAATGATCATCGTGAGTGTCGCTCTCTCCTGAACAGGTAAAAAAGGCCAGAGACCCATGTTGAGCAGGCAGAGAGCCTGGCAGAAGGAGAGAGAATTGCCACCTGTCCTGGAAATAAAGCCCAGTGTAATGGGGATAAAAGAATGCTAGACTAAAAAGCAGGAAACCTGGATTCCAACTTGGCATCTGCGTATTAACTAGTTCTGGGACCATGTGTAAGCCAGTTAACTCCTTTAACTTCCTGTTTTTTCCCAGCAATGTACCAAGAGCTTTGCCTGGCTTACTTTGATTCTTATAATGGTAACTATGCGAAAGATAGAGTTATCACATGCAACTTTTTCCTATAGCAGTTATGATGGGGAATGATGAAGCAACTCACTCAAGACCACAGATCTGCGAGCGAGAAGACAGAGAAATAAGGCCTGACAATACCCATTAGTGGATAGCCTGTTTGGGGGCTGGGAGAAGTGATTTAAATGCCCATATTTCCATTTTTTGACAGAATAACATTTAACATGGCACTCCAGACCTCTGAGCTCCAACTCCAGTGAGACTTTAATTTTTTTGTCTGTCTTTCACATTTTTCCACTGCTACTAGACCTCCCAGTTTAAAACCTTTAAGATGAGTATTTTAGAAACAGCACTGACAACAAGATGGGAAAGCTTGTTCCTTGAGTTATATTTGAGACTTAAAATTTTTTAAAGATGTGTCTGATATTCCATGGTTCTAATTACAGTGACAGCAAAGATAAAATAGCTTCATATTCAGGTACTCTCTTACATCAGCATTAGTGTGCTCTTTTCCCTCCATAGGGATTTAGGTTTCAGAACCAGAGAAGACTGTTTCCTTCTAATTCATTCTTTTACAGGAGTCCAGTAGATATCCGTGTAAATGAATGATGTGTTTTATTTATGTTGACATCAAGCAAACACAAAAAACACCTACCAGAAGGTAAATATAGAGGCAAAGCCATTGTTAGTGTTTCATGTCCCACTGTCTTCAGAGATTTCATTAATGTCCTTTATGCCACACGTAGTCACCATGTACAGTTATTTGTAGAATAAAAAAGATAATATTTATATCTAAATAACACCTCCTTGGGGTTGACAAGTTTTCATAACACAGTGCTATAATGTCATTACCTAAATTAGTTTCTAACACATTGTATGATTTCTGTAAAATCTCTTGCTATCTTTTGAGATGAAGCCTGTGGCTGCCAGTTATGATAAAAAAGTTAGACCCATGGGCTTTGTCCTTGGTCCCCTGCAAACACGTACAATGAGGCAGTAGACATACGAGGCAGCCCTTCTGTTCTGAGCACTGGGCATGGCTCAGAGATGGACCAGCCAGAGTCCTGCTTCCATAGCAGCCCTTGATCTGGTGGACAGAGGAGACATTCAGCAGCTATGGTCACAACTCTACGGGCAGCTGTGCCTCATGGGGCGTGTGTAGCTCATGTCTGAAAATAGCCACTCCACCTGTCTCTCATTGCTACATTCCACTATGGGGCATTTGTCACTTTTATTGATGAAAAGACCTCAGTAACATTCATGACATGTATAGTCTGTTTTATTCACTCCAAAACCATCCATACCTTCGACATTTCAATAGGCAGAGAGAAAATCATTGAAAATTTTGAGGCATCATGAAATCTCTCATCAGTTAAAGAGTTTTCTTTGAGAATAAAGAGTGATTTAAAAACTCTGATAATCAGGGAAAGAAGAAGTGGGATAGACATGCTTAATTAACTACCACATGCTACAATGAAATTCACCACAATATACAATCCGCACGTTAAAATTGTTTTCATTTCCCACATTTTAGCAAATTATAGTACTTTGTAAATACCTGCGGAAAGAACATTCTGATATCTATATCTAATAGAGTGACTAACTTGAAAGCTAGTTTTTATGCCAGTCGTTCACACATTTACTGTCAGCAAAAATTTTTCACGTGCCTACTGTGCACTAGGCAGTAGGAGTTTGTGAGAAAACAAAACAAGGCTCCTTGTGGAGCTTCAAATCTTGATTATTTTCAAAGGAGTTACAAAATAAGCAAAGAAAAAATATATATATAATATGTATATGTATAAAAAAATAATATGTCCAATAATATGGTGATAAGTGCCAATAGAGAAAAATACAACAGGATAAGAAATAGGGAATGGGGAAGGGGTGCTCGAAAAGGATGGTCTAGTAGTTATCGCTCATGAGGTGACATTAATGCTTCTCTTCAGCTGGATCTCTCCCAGGTTTTACTCTACCATTTGCTGAAAAGTTACCCTAAATCCCTTCATGCTTCACTCATATAGCACTTGGACTTCTTTTTCTAGCTTGACTTACTCTCATTTCATCACTCATTGATGTATCACCAGAGCTTTGCTACAAATAGTATTTTCACCTGACGTCCTTCTCCTAATAATTTAGTCTCATGCTCTTCTGGCTTTGGTGAGTTGGTGTCTAAGCCAGCTCTGTGAGTTTCAAGTTAGTTCATTGGGTTTATCCTTGCTAACGTGTAGGCCATCTCCAACTTTAGAACTGAGTTGTATTTCCAGTGTTTGCCTTTAAGTTTCTTGAAACAGTTCTAAATTGAAAAAAGGGAGAAAAAATTTGATGTGAAGCATGTCTTTCTTTTGCTTAATAATCACTAAGTGTGGACGCAGCCTATTGTGTATGAAATAACCTCACACTTTTGGCTGAAAAGACCCAATTGTGCTTAGACTCCTTAAGCCCAGGCTCTCATTCTAGGGCAGCCCTGCGACAGACCTATGAAGAGAGAATGCTCTGGAAAATGTAGTGGGTTGACTTCTTGTAGAATATTACACTATGTAAGGCAGCAATGGCCTAGATGATATGGGTTTGATATTTTCGTGTTTACTTCTTGACCTTGAGGGAAGAACGAGAAATGCTATTTATGGTATACCATAATATTGTGACTTTAAGTCAGAAGTAGCCCAGAATATTAAAAAGAGATGAAAGATTTGTTTCCTGGAAAAGAAAAACCAATTTGGAGTTTTATTCTTTACATTATGAGTCAAAAAGTGTAGAAAGGAGATATTCGTAGATAGTCAACAGCCAAGCCAGTATGATAGGTTAAAAAAGCAATTTTAGAAAATGTAACAGAGTAAGTACCTCTCTGTTTTGTGTATTGGAATGAAATTGTCCCATGCTAGTATAGAAAAAACAAAGGAAACAAATGCTTTTAAACATTGCTGTGATGGGGGAGAAATACAGCATTTCTATTTATAACTTGTACAGAGTCCCACATAAAAATAGCTCCAACTAACAGATTCGCTCATATCTGGAATACAAAGTTGTCGCTGCCAGTGACTTGAGGAATTCTAATAAGAACGACAACGGCATTGGTAAATATTGAAAGTTTATCATCTTTTCTTCTATCCCAGTTTTCATAGGGGAAGAAAATTCACAGAAAAGTCCTGGCTTTGGTGTTACACATTTTGTTCTTTTCTAGGCTCCTGGTCTCTTTGTTTTTAATGGAAAAGTCACCATTTGCACCCCTGGACTTCACCCCACGAGAAGGCTCGGTTATCGTAGCTCTGTCAGTTATGATTGTATCTCTGCAAGTGAAGTATCTGTCAGGCTCATGCAGTCAACATTTCATTCTTCTAATTTTGTATGATTGGTGTGACAGCAAAGATACTAAGGACTTTTGAAGTTAATGGACACCATTCTGTCTTATTTTCAGCGAAGCTTCCTGGGCTATGCCAGTTTTGAAGTGGGGGAGCTTCTGAAGTCAAAGGAGCAGCTGCTAGCCCTGAGCCTGAGGTGGGTCTCTCTGTCCGCAAAAATGCTGTAAAGTGAAGAGCTGATGACATTTCCTGAAGGATGGCTGGGCTTGAAAAATCCCAGTTCCTACAGATGTTTAGAGGTCAGCTCTCACATGGCTCAAGTTCTCCACAGCAGCAAGTTACAGTGAAACAGCAGCGGTTCAGGTTCACACTGAAGTTCATGTTTCGCGTGGTCAAAGGTTATCAGTCCGTATGGGGGTGGGGGGAATGACATGATCATTAAACTGATGAAATTCTTTGATAGTAACAATAGAAACAATGAGCAAGTTATTGAATAATTTTTCTGTTACTTATTGAAATGTGACTTTTTAAGTCAAGTAAGCTTCTGGGTTTGAACTATGTTTGTTAGTGGCAACATTGCAAATTTATGATAATGGAGGGGAAGTTGATTATTCTCTTCTTTTTAAAGCTTGTTTTGTTTCCATCCTATTAAATATAAAACATACGTTAGAACAGAGTCATACTGAAGCAAGCAGTAGAGCAGAGATAATTTTGAATATGAATACCATTTGCTTTGATAGAGAAGACCAGATAACAATCTTTAGGAAGTTACTTAGAATTTTAAATTTTTATTAACATATAATGTATTATTTTCCTAGGGGTACAGGTCTGTGAATCATCAGGCTTAGACATTTCACAGCACTCACCATAGCAGATACCCTCCCCAATGTCCATAACCCAGCCACCCTATCCCTCCCCACCACCCTCCAGCAACCCTCAGTTTGATTTGTGAGATTAAGGGTCTCTTATGGTTTGTCTCCCTCCTGATCTTTTAAAGCTAGAAGAATGTTAAATAGAATAAACTTTTTTTAAAAACTTCACTATACATTCTAAACAATAGTATGCTGTTTTCTAAGTATATAATAACTCCTATAATTATGTACACATAATATATACCTTGCAGTATTTGTATAGTATAAATAAATGTAAGAATTGTATAGGACAGTCCTTGTAAATCTCAAGATGTTCTTCTTTTGATGAAACATAGAGACCACTCCCAGGGAAGAGACAGTGTCTTTAGTGTGCTTGCCCTCTGCGTTGCAGTGGCAAGGACCCACCTGTAAACAATTTATTTCAGTAAAGATGCTGTGGCTTATACTGAAATCTGTACTGAGGTCTGTCTCCTTTTCCTATTTTTTCCTGATCCTTACAGTTTTGCATTTTTGACTTAGGGGAGTATAAAGTAATTTAAAGTAGCTCATACTCATACAGAAAAATAAGCGTTAATGGGTTCTAACGAAGCCATTATCTTCTTTCTCTGCTATGTCTCTTAAACATCTGTTATTTTGTTGTTCTTGTTAAATTTTATTTGGGAAGACATTTTAAAATCTTCACAGTTCTGTGGTGTTGTTCCCCATGAAATTTTGCTGTGGTGATGTTCAGCTTGAAGTTTGTGTGGATCAGCTAAAAAGTCTAGCTAGCAATGTTGCTGATACTCTAGAAATATGTGTTAGTGCCCAGCGCGGTGGGGAGACCTGACCAGAGTGCCCCTGGATTCATGAAATGTGATGTCAAGCATTAAGTTAATTTAGGACTACTAGCAGGCCCCGTGTTTTCTAGATGGGATGCATAGCCCTCATTCTTACTCTTGCTGATGACTCACATTGATTCTCCATAACCGCCATTAACATCAGCACAATGCTGCACCTTTAGACACTCCCTTTGAAACAGAAATCAGGGGACCAACGAATACTAACCAATGAAGGTTAGTAAACACACAGAAAACCTTAAGGTGGCAGAACAGGAAGAGAAGGGTCAAGTTTAGAGTACTACCCCTGTAAGCAAACAAGGAATAGAATCAATACATATTTCCACTTTTGATCTTAACACCTCTGCCTAATCCTCATTTGATTTTGATTATATAAAAGGAAAACAAGTTTAACTACAAAGAATTGAGTTTTCTAGAAAAAAAAATTTTTTGAAACTAATTTTGAAATGGCTGGGTTGTTATGCTTTCCCTCCCTTTTCATGCTTTGCCAAATTTGTGAATTTCTCTCTCCATGAGTAGACACTTTATAGTCTTATCATAGCCTTTTGATTTCAGACACTTCATGTTTTTTACTTCAGATGTAATTCATCTTCTCTCCCCCAGCTTGTGAGTCTCGGAGGTACTCTACTGGAAGAACATTAGGTTAGGGATAAGAAGCTTTTTTTTTTTTTCAATTGTTTCTTTTGTTTTGTTTTAATATTGCTTTGTACTGATGATATCTGCATTTTGTTCCTTTAGATTCCAGTCATTATTTTTTAAAAGGTTTATTTATTTATTTCAGAGAGAGAGAGAAAGTGGGGGTGGACAGAGTGGGAGGGAGTGGGGAGGGTATCTCAAGCAGACTCCCCACCGGGCACAGAGTCCCACTCATGAGCCTGAGATCACAACCTGGGCCAAAATCAAAAGTCTGATACTTAACTGACCGAGCCACCCAGGTGCCCCATCAAGTCATTATTTTTAAAGCTGTAGCATTCTCAGATTCCTATGAAACAAATTCACAGAAATAATATACACTTGTACAAACATTCTCTGATAGTAAGCTTCCCCCAGATCTATGTAGTTTTGTGTTCACTGTCCCTTTGAGTTGTTTCTTCTCGGACACTTCCAGTCCTAAAACTCTCAAACAAACTCCACAGAGCACCATCGTTTAATGGGGCTACTATGCCATTTGTGCTTTGAACTTTTTAACAAAATTTGGGATTGAATTCTTTTTTTCCCAGAGAAGATTGAAAGGAGCAAGAAGTGTGTGTCTTATTTATAGATTTAGACTCAAATTTCAGGAAATATCATATAGTCCATTTTTTCGAGTTATTGAACAAAATTTACTTGCATGTATTAGAGAAAAGTCCTCCACTACACAAAGTGGTGCCTACTCATAGAAGTCGTCTTCCTTTAAATATGTAGTTACTAAATTACTGTCTGAGTGTTCTAGCATCGCAACTGGACATGTTATCTTTATTTAGTACTAACCCTTTTACTTTTGTCTTGTATTTACTTTGTTTTGCTAGCCTACATTTTGTGTTCCTGTCTCCTCTGACTTCTTGTAGATCTGAATTATATTTTCTGTTTTTATTCTTGAATTCATTGCCACATCTCCCTGACTTTCCTACTGCAATGTAAACAAGCTAAGGTCCTTGTATAGAGGATTACAAATGAAGGCCTAAGAGACACTAGATAATCTTATAATAATAGTAGTAAGAAGAAGAAGAAGGAGAGGAGGAAGTTTCTACATGTTTTATGCTCAGATAAGTATCTTAGAGATATTGCTTCATCGACCCTTATTCTTAATGCCACTTTATAAATTAAGAAAGTGAGATGTAAAAAGCAGTTCAGTGATTTGCACAAAGTCACAGTGTCCATAAATGGGAAAGCCAAGGTATGGAGCCACACATTTCCAACTGCAAAGTCTGTGCTTTAGTGACCCGCTTCTCATGTGTTTTGACAAAGGAGAGAACTGAGAACTTGTGAAAACGTATCACACATTATGTGACTGAGGTAATGGAGAAACAAAGCCAGCACTCAGGTGCAAGACCGCCCGTTCACGGTTTCTTCCACTTCGATTTCACCACAGTGCCTCGTCTTACAGTGAGTGAAGACATAATGAGTGTCAACATGCCATGAAGAACTCAGACAGATGAGCCGTAATGGCAGAAAGTGGGAGCCAGCCTGCCTGGTGGAGGGAGAGGCTGCGGGACACCTGCGGAATCTGCTCTCACCCGAGAAGCTCGGCATCCTCAGGCCCCAAGCCTGGCTGCTGTCTGAGCACCTGACAATCATTTGCTCTGCTAACCTTATCTGAATGTCTTAGGGCCGTGCAAGCAGAAATTTGGAACATCGTAGTCCTGTTTCATTATTTAATAAGAGAATGGCAAGATTACCTCTGACTCCTGGAATGGTGCGAGCAGTTGGGAAAAATGATGTCGCTCTTAAAGTATTCAAACAACCACAAAGGCAGAGATAAAGGGGGGGAAGGGTGAAACTTCTTTTTTAGGAAATCCTTCTTGTTAGAAGTGAGACAGATGGATGTGTTTTGACCTTGTCTCTGTTGCACATGACCTTTGTTGCCTATCTCCTCGCAGTTTAGGCTACATTCAGTGCTCATTCATTCAGCAAGCACTTATGAAGAACTTTCCATATGCTAACCACAGTGGTAGGTAATCTTTTGTAGTTGGTGTTACTAATAACACTAATAATGAAAAAATCGTATTGTTTATTGAGCATCTCCTAGCGTGCAAACAAGGTATGAGGTGCTCTTCACGCATGATCTTGAATCTATGCTGCATTATCATCCCTGTGTTACAGCAGCTTTTCTATGATCCCGCAGCCAGTGAGTGTACAAGTAAAATGAGAGTCCAATTTGGTCTGCCTCCGGAGCTTGTTCTGTTTTATTTTCCTGCCTCCTAGGAAGCTAATAGAATCTTTGTTTCCTTCTCTATTTTATATTCTGTCCTTTGGAGAGTTTCAGGGGCCTCATTTCTTTTTTCTTAATGCTTTATCTTAAAATTCAATTTCATATGCCCATGACATAGTAGAGGTTCAATAATTACTTGCTGGAATTTTGATTCATGAGGACAACTTCCTTATATTTGTACGGATGCTTGAACGTAAGCCAAGTACCATATATTTCTGAATGGCATCCACCTAAATTAATGCATATAAGGCAGCCGGAGCATTAGAATATATCGGAGACAAGGAACTTTGAGAGTAACAGTGAGGGATAGATTGTAATATGATTGAAAAGCTGAAAACCTTATTTAGAATTTACTATTTCAGGGCAGGCCACTTTACCTTGTCGCAGAAACTTCCAATAGAGCACTTAACTAGTGTTCTATTATTTCTTCTGTAATCTTTTGCATGTAACCCCTCCAAGTTAAGCAAACATTTATGTAATTTTATCAGAATGGATGTGGCAAAATATTCTTAAATTTATTCATAAAAAGAAAATTTGTTTTCATTTATTGCTTCTGCCACATTTACAGTCGTGCTGT